AAATGTTTTAACTTGGATTTTCAAAAAAAAAAAAATAAAAAAATATACACCTAACAAACAAATAGAGTAAAACCTCTCATAAACCTAGCAGACGAGTCAAACGACCACCCAAATCGACAATTGAGACCCACACCACAACAAAAGTCATAATAGAACTAAAAATCTAGAACCCCAAACCCAAAAAATGCGGATGAACTGCTTAGACAGATTTGATGAGTAGACCGTTCTCGATTAAGATCTGGGCTCCATAGGATTTCAGCATTGGGGAAGAGAGGAGTAGCCGCCACGAAAACACCGGAGGGCTTGAAACTAGGACTCAAGGAGGGGCCAACCATAACAGCACACAACCGAGTAGGGGTGGAAAGCGAATCGGACCGTAATGATCCCATTCTTAAAAACAAGGATTTTTTTTTTTTTTNACAAGTCAAACTCAAGAAAAAAATTCTTATTAGAATATTTTTCTTAAATAAAATTCAAACTAATGAAATTCAAGTCGATCTCGAGCATTTGTATATTTTTATAAAGTCGAGTTGAATTTTAAAAAGTCTAGCCTGTCAAGTTCGGACAACATTGAAGAAAATATTGAGCCCAACTTAATTAGGCCAATGTTTGACTCGACTCGTTTACAACTCTCGTATCATTACACTTAAAAGGTACAATTCTTACTTTTGTTCGAAATCCATTTTCAAGGTTCTCTAGTTTTTCTTTTTTTTTAACATCTGGTCCCTCTAGTTTTACTCAAATATTTAAAAGTAACATGTTTGAATAACAAATCGAACTAACTATGGAAGGCCCGAAAAAATATGGGGCCCGACATTGTGTTACAAATCTAGCTGCAGTTAAGCATAAATGGTAGGTAAAAAGGGCAGAAAGAGAGCGACTGCTAAGTTGGGCCGAATCGGGCCGATTGCAGATGGGTGTTGAAGCCCGAATTATAATCTAGGCCCACTACATCCATTTTCGACCCAAACTAGGCCCGACGTACACACCCAGCTCTCCTTGGCTAGGGTTTGCTGCATTACAATTCATTTTCACCTTTCGCAGTTCAATTTCAGACATTCGCCCATCTCTCCATTTGCTGCTCCCAGTTAAGGTAAGTACCTTTTTTCTTCTCCATTTTTCTCTCAATTAATGTTCGCTCTTTCTATGTTTTTGCAACTCTGGAATTTGTGGTTAAGTGTAGATTTGTGTCGTAATTTAGTTTTTTGTGTTCGTCTGTGTGTTCTCGATTGTTTAGTTGAGATGTGAAGATTTTCAGCTTTCTTCGGTTAGATAGTATGAAAGATCGGAATTAGCTTCTGAGGTTGATGACCCGAATTTTTAATTTTGTTTTTTGTGTGTTTTTCCTATGTCAATTTCAAGTTTTTGGTGCTTCCATGAAATTACACAGAGTTGAGGATATTGAAATTCTTGTGATGAATAATATCATTCCTTATGCTGTTGGCCTTTTGGTTAAGAAGTTCTTCATGCCTGTTTTGAAATTGGTTCTAAAATAGTGGGCACTGCAAATTATAATGACAGAGACTAATGTAGGGTAACTTAATTGAAAAGAAGATGGCATGGTATTATCCATACAGTCGACTCTGCGTAAGGAAGTTAAAGGGGTAAGTTCGATCCTTCGTCGAATCATACACACACAAATCCGTGTGGGTGTGTGTTGGGATGAACGGTCCTATACCCCTTGTGTTCCCACACAAATAGTACGAAATTTGCCGGGTAAAGGTCCTGTTTTTATTGATAATAAAAAAAAAAATTATAGTACTACCGATAAATGTAACTATAGTTTTGGCAGACCCATTAAGCTGAGGAGGAGTGGTGAAAAAATAACCCAATAACTTGCTTCCTGTCTGAAACTGTTGACTGAGAGAGACGTGTAACTCCTATTTTCCAAAACCGTGATTTCCTTTTAACGCCCGTTTAACATTCCCTTGTCATCAGAATGGAAGACGTACAAATCGAGACCGACCAGGAAGCAAACTACCCACCCGAAGCCAGCCCTGGCGAAAAGCGTTCGCGCGAAGGCAAAATGAGATCCAAAGTCTGGCACCACTTCACCAAAATCCTCAAAGAAGACGGCAAATGCGACAAATGCCAATGCAACCACTGCCAGAAGCTCTTCACCTGCTCCAGCCGCAGCGGAACCACCCACCTCCTCCGCCACATCACCGACGGAATCTGTCCCGTCTTCCGAAAAGACCCCTCCGCCGCCACCCCCATCTCCGGCAGCCTCCTCCTCCCCTGGAAGCTCGAAAGGCCGGGCCCACCCGAAATCGAGCCCACGGCAGTTGGGCTTGTGAGGCCCAACCATCACCACTCGAGAGGGGACTCTGCTTGGGCTGCCGAGTTCAGGGGGTGTGTGGCAAGGCTCGTCGAGCTGGCCAACGGGAAAATTCCAGCAGGATTTGTGGGAGGCGGCCCGCCGGCGGCAGGGTCGCCGGACCACTCGATATCGGCGGCGTTGAGCTGTCTGAACGAGATGCAGGATATTCCGCAGTCGAGCGAGATGTATCTGGACGCGTTTGAGATTCTGCAGGATGCCGGAGAAAGGGAGTGCTTCATATGCCTGCCGCCGGAGCCGAGGCGGAGGTGGCTGCAGAGGATGCTGCACCGGCGGCACCCCTTGCGCTATAGTTCCAACATGTCATGATGAGTCATCCCCATTTTTTTTTATTTTTATTTTTTGTTTGGTGAAATTTCTGTTGCTGTTTGTTGGTAAGAGGTGATTGTGGTTGTTGATGCATACATAGTTTGCATGGAGCTTCTTGTGATGAATATATATATATATATATTATGTAGACCTCTTGTAGCTTGTGGGGAGAGAAGAGTGATGGTTAAAGATAGTTGACGTTGGGTGTAGTCATGAAGTGTTGAGCTGAGGGTTGAGACTGATCTTGTGATTTTTTCACCATCATTTCTTTTGCCTTTTAAAAGATGTAAAATTTAAGAACCATTTTCTAAGATGAAAAATACCTTTATAGTAAGTTTGACAAAAAAAAAAAAAATTAGTGTTCATTTCGAAAAAAACACATTATCTTTAAGAATAAAATTTAATCTTAGACAATTTGGTCGGATTTTATTTTCAAATATTTAGAAAACAAATACAAAGTGTCTGAATTTTCTTAAATATGGAATCCATTGGAATTTTATTTTTTTGGTAATCAATTTGAAGATTCTTACGACAAAAATGTGTTAATTATTTATGAAATCAAATTCAAATAAAGATTAATTTAAAATTTGTGCAACTTTCTCATATTATTTTTATTATTTTACCAAGATTTGTATCCCATTTGTTTTTTTGTAACAAAAATTTGAGATAGGCCAAATTTTCCTTTTCAACTTTTTACAAAACACAACTAATTTCAATTCATTTAAAAAAAATATGAATGTCATAGGAATCCCTTTCTTTTTTATAACAAAATTTGAGATTGATCGGATATCGTCGGATTTTCTTTCTCACTATTTAGGGAACAAATACAAATTGGCCGGATTTTCTTAAATATGAAACCCATAGGTATCCCATTCTTTTGGTTACTAATTTGGAGCTTCTTCTGCGAAAATGTCAATTATTTTTTAAATCAAATCCAAATACAAATTAATTTACAATCCATAAAACTTCTACATATCATTTTTTTTCGCCAAAATTTGAATTTTTTTTGGTAACAAAATTATTCTATTGATCGAATTCCCCTTTCCAATTTTTTAGGAAACAAAATTAATTCAATTCATTTAAAAAGTATGAATGTCATAGGAATCTTTTTTTTGTAACAAAATTTGAAATCGGCCGGACTTCCCTTTTCAATTTTTTAGGGAACAAAATTAATTTCAATTTATTTAAAAAAATATGAATGCTATAAGACTCCCATTTTTATGGCAAGGTGAGATACTTACCGTGCAAATAGTTGTATAACTTTTAACAAATTCTTCTAAAACCGTGTTTTTTAAAAATGAATACATATCTTGATACAACTAAACTATTGGATACACAAAAATGAAAAATATTTATGCGCATCCACGACATTTTTTTACAACTAAACTATTGGATACAAATCTTAATCCATTTGAAATATGTATAATTATTTTTTTTATATTATTAACAATACATGAATATTTTATTGAATAATTTTTTTCCAATGTTCCGTGTTTCATGTATAACCATAGCCAATAATTTAGGAAAACCAATTCAAATGATTTTCGAAACCGTGATTTTTAAAAATGGATACAAATCTTGATACAACTAAACTATTGGATATACAAAACCGAAAGTATTCATGCGTATCCACAATATTTTTTCACAACAAAATTATTGATTACAAATCTTTATCCATTTTAAATATGAATAACTTAAATCATTTTATGTAATTATTAACAATACATGAATATTTCATTTAATCAATTATGAGATTTTACATTATCTCAAGAAATCAGATTGAATGAGGTTGAAAATGCCAACACTCACTATCCATGAAAGGAGATTGAATGCAATTGAAAATTTGACTAAAAGCTCTGGCGAGATTTGTATTACTTAGAGATAGTGGAGGAATTTTGGAGAATTATAAAATCCTTTTCAGCTCAACTTCTCTAGATTTTGATGCTCATATTTTTAAGGGAACACCCAAATCCATAACAACCAGTCAAAGAGCTTAGTAAACTAATTTCTGAAGATGAGGTGAATAAAACCCCAACAACTTCTCTAGATTTTGATGCTCATATTTCTCCCAATTTTTGCCATTTTGCTTGGGATTCAATTCATAATTGTATGTTTGAAGTTGTGAATGATTTATTTTGTTGTGCCAAAAACCCCAAACATTGTTAATGACACCCTTATTACTTTGATAACTAAGATTAAAAATCCTTCTAGGATTTCTCATTGTAGGCCAATTAGCTTGTGTCGTGTAGATTATAAAATTATCTCCAGGCGTCCTCTCCAGGCCCGCCTTTGTCCTCCGCCTCCGGCCTCTCATCGCCTCCGCCTCCGCCTTCCACCGCCTTACCTTGGCTATATCGACTAGGGGGTTCGCCACCCGACAGAGGACGTCGTCCCTAAACGATCAGAATCCGAACGGGTCGAATCGGCCCCCAAATAAGACGAGCATTCTCGAAGGCTGTGATTTCAAGCACTGGCTGGTGGTCATGGAGCCTCCGGATGAGAACGCAATGCGGGACAAAATCATCGATTCGTACATCAAGACTCTTGCTATGATCTTTGGGAGGTTTGGCAATTTTCAACTTGCTTGTCTATGTTTATAGCAGTGAACTTAAAGACTTCCTTTTTTTTTTTTCTTTTTTTTTTCTATCTCTTTGGGGTTGTCTTGTTTAAATTCAACTGAAATCTCAAGATTCGTTCTCGTTATGCTAGGAGATGATTAAAATTCTGGGTTACATGTTCTGAGTTAGAAGCCCACATTGTATTTATTGTGTTAAATATTGAAAATGCTAAGACAAAGGTTGTTCATGGTAATTCATATGTAGTTATGAGTCCTTGATTACTGTAATATTGAATGGTCGACTCTAATTCTAGAGTGTGATACAAACCGTTTATTTTTATTGTTATCGGTATTATAATTTTGGAGTGATTGGTTGGGTTACAAAATGCTTAAAAGTTTAAACTAATGAATGAGTTTAATATTTATGCTACTTCTCTTATGAGATTATAAACACAACAGTTGACAATCTCAGTCTCTCATTTTGTTTCCATCTGCCAGTCTTAATATCATAATAATATTCATTGCATTATTGTAATTTTTCTATATGCAGTGAAGAAGAAGCTAGGATGAAGATTTATTCAGTCTCTACGAAGTGTTACTTTGCCTTTGGAGCTCGTGTCGGAAGTGCTTTCTCACAAAATAAAAGGTCTCGATCACCATATTACTTTCTGGTATTTATTTAACCTTATGAGTTTCTTACATTGATTAAAAAAAAAAAACATATGGTGCAGAAATTCCTAGAGTTCGTTGGGTGGTCCCAGATTCATACTTAGATGTGCAGAACAAAGATTATGGAGGTATGAATTACCTCTGGCATATATATATGAAATATATGAATTTTTTTTTTATTTGCGGAATTTATTAATTAGTTTACCTTAAATTTTAGCTATTCCAGGTAATCAAATGCCACAATAAGAGAACCACTATAAATTTCAACACCTCAATCCGCACCCGTAAAGGAGACAGAGAAACTCGTCAAATATTTAAAGGATATCAGCATATTTTTCCCAATATAGAAAGTGAATACGAAATATTGGAATGGCTCTAAACACAGTAAAAAATTGTATCCGAACAGCAAGAAACTTATCAATACAAAAGACAGAAAAACAAGAGTAAATACGGTTTCGCTAATGTAAGCTCTTTCCAGCCCAAGTTCCTACAGTTTCAACAAGGTTTTTGCAACATAAGCTCCGGCTCGGGAACCTATCTTGAAAAAAATAAACAAATAAATAAAAATTGCCGAGTTTCTGCTCGATCTCGGCTAATGTTTTCAAATCGATGATGCATTGCAATAATTCAAAATTACTGATAGTGATTGTAATAAATAACCTCAAAATACCACTTTGTTCATTCGCAAAAACCTTTGTTCATTCGCAAAACCTTCAAGACACTTTCGCAGGTGGAGCGGAAGTTCCCTTTAATACCACTTACCTCCATTGCTCTAACAAGCATTCTGGTCAGGCGGAAGGGAACCTAGATAGACCAATAATGATATTTTAGGAAGAAATATTCAGTACATTTTCTTTTCATATACAATTTAAATGAAACCATTAAACAACAGCTAACCTTTCCAGAATAATATTACTCTCTCAAAATTAACTTCATATAAAACAAGGATGCAGAATTCAGCAATAAGAGCAATACAATCATTGTGCAGCAAATAAGGCACAGAATTTATTAACAAAACCTTCATCAAGAAGCATATTCTTCACCATCACTTCCATGTATTATCATCCGCCTGAATACATGTTAATAAAGATCCCAAGCCTAGAAGGGAAACTTTCATTAGCAGCTGCATATGCGTGAATCAAACTACAAAAATATATACAAATGGAAATCCAAATGCAACATTCAGAGAAGCAGCACTTCAAGATCTTAAATCTGATCATCACCAATTATGGAATAAAATCAAGGTAAAGCGAAAAGCAAGAAGAAACATGCTTGGCCTTTCCATATTCGTTAGAATTCTCGAGAAGAAGCAATTAAAAAAATTGATAACAACAATAATAATAATAAAAAAAAAAAGCGTTGAAAAGAAAGAATAGATATGCTCTGCACCTTCTTCTTCTTGAAATCTGCTGCAATAATTTTTTCAAGAAAAAAAAATGCTAACTGAAACAAAAAAATACTTAATTTTTTAAATTAAAAATAATAAACAACTTATAAAATTCATGGATAGATAGAATAAAAAATGTGAATTTGACAATAAATTGTAGTATCCAGCATCAAAAGGAAAAGTCAAAATTGGTGGGCTTAGCCACCATTATGGAAAGAAGAAAAATTGTTACACGCCTACAATGAAGAAAAATTGAGGAAGGTGCAGCCGGTTTTTTTTCTTTGTTCACATGGCATTTACCCTCTATAAATAGAGGGGGTTTCAGCAGATGGAAATGTACCAAGCAAAAGAAAAAAGAGAGAAAAAGAGAGAGCAAGATAACAAGAATAATATTTCTTGTGAGTGTTATTTTTCAGTGAGAGAAAAATAGAGTGTTTGAGTAAATCCTTTGGGTGTGGGAAAAATACACCGGGTCGGGTATCATCTCTATTACTCCTTGTTTGTAATATTTGAATAGGAGTGGGGTCTCACTGGGCCACTATATTTTACATTTCTAGTATAGGGGAGTGTGAAAATATATTGTAATTATCTTGAAAATATAGTGGAATTGTTCGGAGGTTGTCCCGTGGTTTTTTCCTCTACATTGGAGGTTTTTCCACGTTAAATCTTGGTGTCGTTTTTCTTGCATATTTTATTTATTTGGGATATTCTTAGTATGCTCTGTGGTCGCAGTTTAATCTGATCTTCCACATCAGAAAAGAATTATTCCTGTTTTATTGCAAGAGATTTTCTTTTGTCATTTTTGAGTTGCTGCGATTGGGATTAATGTTCACCATTTTACTCCGGTATTTTTAATTCAGCATTTGCGCATCTGTGCCCAACAAGTGGTATCAGAGCTTAAGTTGGGCTCTGTATCAACCAGTGTAAATTAAATGGAGGAGAACGTGGGTACCATGGTGAAGCTGACAGCAACAAATTACTCCATTTGGAAGCCAAAAATGGAGGACATACTTTTCTACAAAGATCTGTATGATCCTGTAGAAAAGGGAGATAACAAGCCAGATGACGTGAAGGATGACGATTGGAAAAAGTTACACAGGAAGGCTGTCAGTTTAATCCGACAGTGGGTGGATATCAGCATATTCCACCATGTTGCCACAGAGTCGAAAGCCCATACACTGTGGAACAAAATCGAGCAGATGTATCAAAGGAAGACTGCACAAAATAAAGCTTTCGTTATCAGAAAGCTTGTGAATTTAAAATATCGGGATGGAAGGTCTGTTGCAGAACACTTGAATGAGTTTCAAGACATGGTAAACCAACTTGTTACCATGGAGATGAAACTTGACGAAGAACTGCAGGCGTTGTTACTTTTGAGTTCTTTACCGGATAGCTGGGAGACTCTGGTGGTCTCGTTGAGCAACTCTGCTCCTGAAGGAAAACTGACTTTGACCCAAGTCAAAGACAGTATGTTTAATGAAGAAACAAGAAGAAAAGATTCCGGGGCAAGCAGCTCCCAAGCTCTGGTCACAGAAACCAGGGGGAGAAGTAAAAGTAGAGGCCGGAATAACAAATCCAGAGATAAATCACAATCTCAAACCAGAAGAAAATTCAAGTGTTATCACTGCGGTGAAGAAGGGCATATCAAAAGAAACTGTAAAGCCTGGAAGAACAGAGATCGGAGGAACAACAAATCAGAGAACGATGAAAATACCGCAACCCCTGTAATCAATGGGGAAGTGGTGTTGCTCTCTGTTGAAGAAGAAGAGTGTCATGTTGCAGATTCATGTGTTGAATGGGTCATTGACTCAGCCGCATCTTACCATGCCACCTCTCACAAGGAATTCTTTTCTCTATACAAAGAAGGAGACTTTGGTAGAGTAAAGATGGGCAACGACAGCATTGCAAATATTGTGGGTGTTGGTGATGTGTGCATTCAAACTGATATTGGGTGCACAATAACACTGAAGGACGTGCGACATGTCCCTGACTTACGTCTGAACCTGATCTCTGTACATGCATTGGATCTAGCAGGCTATACTAATAATTTTGGTAGCGGCACGTGGAGACTTACCAAAGGATCATTGTTAGCTGCTAGAGGTACAGTGAGATCGACGCTGTACAGAACTCAAGTGAAGCTGATCAAGGGTGGACTTAATGCAGTCGAAGATGATGCTTCGCCAAATTTGTGGCACAAAAGACTGGCTCATATTGGTGAAAAAGGATTGCAAATTTTGGCAAGAAAGTCCCTCATCCCGTTTGCCAAAGATTCAAAACTAAATCCTTGTGATTATTGTCTCTTTGGGAAGCATCATAGAGTGTCTTTCAGCAAAACCTCGAAGCTGAAAGAGAATGTGTTGGAGATGGTGTATTCTGATGTATGTGGACCCATGGAAGAGGAGAGTCTCGGTGGTAGCAAATATTTTGTGACGTTTATTGATGATGCTTCACGAAAATTGTGGGTGTATTTCTTGAGAACGAAGGACGAAGTTTTTCAGTACTTCAAAAGGTTTCACGCTATGGTAGAGAGACAAACTGGTAAACCTTTGAAGTGTCTTCGCTCAGATAATGGAGGGGAATATACTTCCCATGAATTCAAGAATTATTGTGCTGATCATGGAATCAGGCATGAGAAGACTGTACCTGGAACCCCACAGCATAATGGTGTGGCTGAAAGAATCAATAGAACCATTATGGAGAAAGTGAGGTGTATGTTAAGAATGGCTAAGCTACCTAAGCCATTCTGGGGTGAAGCTGTTCTAACGGTGTGCTACCTGATCAACCGATCTCCATCTGTTCCTTTGGGCTTTGATATCCCTGAGAGAGTATGGTCCGGACATGATGTTAAATACTCTCATTTGAAGGTGTTTGGATGCAAAGCTTTTGCTCACGTCAACAAGGAACAGAGGCGAAAACTTGATGATAGAGCCATTCCTTGTATATTTTTGGGCTATGGAGATGAGGAATTTGGCTACAGGTTATGGGATCCAGAAAAACGAAAAATTGTCAGAAGCAGAGATGTAGTGTTCCATGAGCAAGAAACTATGTCTGATTTTACTTCACCAGAAATCAAAGAACCAGGTGGTAAGGTGGATCTTTCACCTGTAGAACCTCCTAGAGATGCCACAGTAGGGGGAGAGTGTGATGGTGAAGGTGTCGAGCAAGAAGACCTCGAAGCTCCGCCTCAGCTCAGGAGATCAAATCGAGCAATCCAACCATCTACGAGGTACCCTAGTTCCACGTATATTACCATCACGGAAGAAGGGGAGCCAGAAAGCTTTGGAGAAGTACAAACTCATAAGGATAAATCCCAGTGGATGAAAGCTATGCAAGAAGAAATGGATTCACTGGTGAAAAATGAAACTTATGAGCTTGTGAAGCTTCCGGAAGGCAGAAAAGCCTTGAAAAACAAATGGGTGTTCAAGCTTAAGAAAGATGGTGACAAGCTGTTGAAGTACAAGGCTCGCTTAGTCGTGAAAGGATTTGGACAAAAGCGAGGGATAGATTTCGATGAAATCTTCTCACCGGTTGTAAAGATGAGCTCTATTCGAGTAATACTCGGACTTGTAGCTAGCTTGGATCTGGAGCTTGCACAACTAGATGTGAAGACTGCATTTCTTCATGGAGACCTAGATGAAGAAATCTACATGGAGCAACCAGAAGGATTTGAGAAGAATGGAAAGGAGCACATGGTTTGCAGATTGAAGAAGAGTTTGTATGGACTGAAACAAGCTCCAAGACAGTGGTATAAGAAATTTGACTCGTTTATGGCGAGCCATGAATATACCAAGACTGATGCAGATCATTGTGTGTTCGTTAAGAAATTTCCAAGTGATAAATTCATTATCCTTTTGTTATATGTAGATGATATGTTGATAGTGGGACAAGATATGAAGCTGATTGGTGATTTGAAGAAGGATTTAACAAAGTCCTTTGATATGAAGGATCTAGGCCCTGCGAAACAAATTTTGGGCATGCAGATCATGCAAGACCGAAAATCCAAGATGTTATGGTTATCGCAAGAACGGTATGTGAATCGGATTCTGGAGAGATTCAACATGAAATCAGCTAAGCCGGTCAATACACCGTTAGCCAATCACTTCAAACTCAGCAAACGAAGTTGTCCTACGAGTCAAGAAGGAAAAGAAGCTATGGCGGGTGTTCCATACTCCTCGGCAGTCGGGAGTTTGATGTATGCCATGGTCTGTACCAGACCAGATATCGCTCACGCGGTTGGAGTTGTTAGCAGGTATCTTTCCAATCCAGGGAAGGAACATTGGGAAGCTGTGAAGTGGATCTTGAGGTACTTAAAAGGTAGTGCAAATAAGTGCTTGAGCTTCGGCAAAGGAAACCCAGTTCTTGAGGGTTATACAGATGCGGATATGGCAGGTGACCTGGATAGTAGAAAATCTACTACAGGGCTTGTGTTTACATTTGCAGGAGGAGCTGTATCTTGGCAATCTAAATTGCAGAAATCTGTTGCCTTGTCGACTACTGAAGCCGAGTATATTGCACTAACAGAAGCAGGAAAAGAAATGCTTTGGTTAAAGAGGTTTCTTCAACAATTGGGAATGAAGCAGGAAAGGTACGATATCCATTGCGATAGTCAGAGCGCATTGGATTTAAGTAAGAATGCGATGTACCACTCTCGCACGAAGCACATTGATGTCAGATATCATTGGCTACGTCAAGCAGTGGAAGAACAACAGTTCAAGTTGGAAAAGATTCACACTGACGAAAACCCTGCTGACATGATGACGAAAGTTGTAACAGGAGGAAAGCTTCAACATTGTGCCGAATTAATCGGCATGGAATGCATGTAAAGGTCTGCAGTATATTTCCTTTTGGCTGGAGGGGGAGAATTGTAGTATCCAGCATCAAAAGGAAAAGTCAAAATTGGTGGGCTTAGCCACCATTATGGAAAGAAGAAAAATTGTTACACGCCTACAATGAAGAAAAATTGAGGAAGGTGCAGCCGGTTTTTTTTCTTTGTTCACATGGCATTTACCCTCTATAAATAGAGGGGGTTTCAGCAGATGGAAATGTACCAAGCAAAAGAAAAAAGAGAGAAAAAGAGAGAGCAAGATAACAAGAATAATATTTCTTGTGAGTGTTATTTTTCAGTGAGAGAAAAATAGAGTGTTTGAGTAAATCCTTTGGGTGTGGGAAAAATACACCGGGTCGGGTATCATCTCTATTACTCCTTGTTTGTAATATTTGAATAGGAGTGGGGTCTCACTGGGACACTATATTTTACATTTCTAGTATAGGGGAGTGTGAAAATATATTGTAATTATCTTGAAAATATAGTGGAATTGTTCGGAGGTTGTCCCGTGGTTTTTTCCTCTACATTGGAGGTTTTTCCACGTTAAATCTTGGTGTCGTTTTTCTTGCATATTTTATTTATTTGGGATATTCTTAGTATGCTCTGTGGTCGCAGTTTAATCTGATCTTCCACATCAGAAAAGAATTATTCCTGTTTTATTGCAAGAGATTTTCTTTTGTCATTTTTGAGTTGCTGCGATTGGGATTAATGTTCACCATTTTACTCCGGTGTTTTTAATTCAGCATTTGCGCATCTGTGCCCAACATAAATTTCTTTGACCTCATGTGTTTGACCGAACTCCATCTTGTTGCAGTACATCGTTCATGTCGACTATGGAACAGCCTCGCATGCCCCGTTAGCAAGGGCTTGCCCTATCGCACTCAAATAACGATTCTCAACTTCTCCGACATCTTTTTCACATGTTCTGTCGTCGTGATAAGGAGCTTCACGACCAGAGCGGGTTCAGATCTGGAAGCCATGGACGGCGAGGCTGACGTGGCCCCGATGGTGGTCGAATAGGGTCCTAGTCACCTTTCAGTCGAGAGAGGCGATTGAAAGTGGGGACCAAATGCTCAGTAAGCAGCACGTTGAAAAGGCAACGGGATGGTGAAAATCGATGATGGAAGGCGCACAAATTTGAGAGATTTTTTGCGACTGCGTGGGAAAATTTTGTGGGGAAAGATAAATTTGAGAGAAATTGTATGTTAGGTAGGGTTTGTTGGTAAATATAAGATAATAATCCTAATTATATTAGAGTTAAATTGGATTAAACAAAAATCCTATTTATTAAGTATTTTATTTTAAATAATTTAGGAATGTATCCGAATCAAAAGTCGAAGCATGTAATGTTGCTAAGTAAGCTTCCGAAGCGTGCGAGGCAGCCATTTAGGCTTACGTTTTTAAATTATATTAAGAGGGGATATATGTAGCTTGTGACTTGTGGGGGAGAAAAAAAAAGAGTGGTGATTAATGATAGTTGAGGTTGGGTGTGCTTTTGGCTGGATTGATTTGTAATGATAGGGTGCATAAGTTAAGAAAGTGTTGTGGTGAGGGTTGAGACTTGAGACTTATCTTATGCTTCCTCCTATTTTTAATAAATGTCGTTTTGACAAGTTGTACAGTAATTAAGAATATATTTTTTGCCAAAAATAACCCTTATTAATGAGGATAGAGATGAATGTTTTGAGAAAAGATGATGAGTGAATATGAAAATACGTAGTGTATTTATTAGTTAGATGAGGGTAGTAATGAAAAAATATGTACAAAATAGCCAAAACGACATTTATTTAACAAATGATCAATTAAGCCAGAATGACAAATAATAATATAGGAGAGAATAATTGTCTTCACCATCATTTCTTTTGCCTTTACAAGATGTATAAGACCTAAGAACCACTATCTATTGGTGAACCACATAATTAATAATAATATAAGAATTTAATTAATTAAACTATCAAAACAATGTAATATATATATATAGAATTTGATTTATTTTTTTAAATAGTAACTGTTTTCCATCGAAAAAAATTCTATTTACTATATTGAGAAACTAGTATGAGTCCCGTGCAATGCACGGGTAAGAGATATTCATTAATATTTATAAACCAAAAATTTCTATTAAATAATATTATAAATTTAAAATATGGAATCGATATGTAATACAATTTAGCTATATTAATTTATTAAAAATGTTACATAAAATTTAAATTGTGCAAAATTACATAAAAATGTCTATTTAAAATTAGTACACAACCCGTGCGGTGCACATAACTAATAATAATTACATCATATTCTTTTCAAAATATGTATCATTTTTAAATTTTTATTCAGAAAATCGTTTGACTATATGTGATTCCATAAAATAGTTATTTTGGTAAAATGTTATCATATATTTAACAAACTATGTGAATAATAAGTATAAATATAAAATTTATATTGTTTCATTACTTAAAATAATTTATTAATATATAAACTACTAAATAAAAAAAAATTAAATAGTTGAGTAATTTATTAAACTATAAATAATTGACTATTTCGTTTATGTCCAAGTTAATATTGATCCGTAAGTTATGAATAATTATTTTTTATTTTTAAATTTTGAATAAAAATATTTTTATTTTTTCTCAATATATTATATACCAAATTTAAACCATGCAACTAAGAAATACAATAGCTGCAAGTCTTGTCAATATATTACATTCCAAATTTAAATCATGCAAGTAATAAAGGTAATAGCCGCAATATTTGACCAAAATGATTCTGTACATTAATTTAGGTGGGATTTTTCAAAATTTGGCCAAAAATATTACTCAATATAGTAAATACTTTTAGATGGGAAACCAAATATTTTTTGCTGATTTTTAATTGCTATTTCAAGTAAATATGATTGTCTCTTTATATATTACTAGATTAATGATAAATTATAAAGTGAGTGAATTTTTTTGGTATAAAATTTTATTGGGATATTCAATTTTTGATATGAAATGANTCCATTCTCCAATATTAGTACATTACACATTTTGGAGATTCTTCTATTTATATATATTTCGTGTCAAAATGTTGATTAAAATTGGTCCATCTTTTCAAAAAAATAGACCAATTTTTATTTGTGTATATCTTTCCAAAAGTTGATATATTTTTATTTGGACTAATCAAAACTTTCAATAATTAATTGAAAATATTAATCTATATTTTTTGCAATAGTTTAGCTATTAATTGATTATTTAGTTTGAAATCTTACTTTACAATTTTTAATATTTACATAATTTTACTCTTCAAAAATAAATACTAAGAATAGTAATTTTGAAAATTTTAAGCGGAAATTTTAATATTATATCAAGTAAATTCTATTCTCTATTATATAGTAATAAATTATTCATTTATTATATTTTAATACACATGTTTGTGCCACATAAGAGTCACATAAACGAATGACTTCGTAAGAAAAACCATCCAACGACCATAGAAAAACCATCAATTATCATATACCCACCCATAATTAATTTTGTACTAAAAAAGATATTTATAGTATTTTTCAAATTGGCCCTGGATATTCCAGTAATTCTACATTCGAGCATCCGTACTTGGGAATTTGGGATATAGTTATATGTAACATACATGCAGCCTCGCTACTTCAAGAAAACCCCCTTTCTCTGCGCAGTCGCTAGGGTTTATCAATCTCATCTGCGAAAATGGCGAGTCGATACCTCGCTCGTCGCGCCCTTCTCTCCACCACCAGACCGCCGTTCTCCATCGTTTCTCACTCCTACACCACGGCCGCGGTCGCCTCCTCCTCCTCCGGCGTCCCCTCCAGGCCCGCCGCCTTTGTCCTCCGCCTCCGGCCCCTCGTCGCCTCCGCCTCCGCCTCCGCCTCCTACTTCCGCCGCCATACCCCGGCGATATCGACTAGGGGTTTCGTCACCCAACAGGGGACGTCTTCCCTGAACGATCAGAACCCGAATTGCTCGAATCTGCCCCCGAAGGAGACGAATTGTCCCGACGGCTGTGATTTCGAGCACTGGCTGGTGGTCATGGAGCCTCCGGATGCGAACGCGACGCGGGAGGAAATCATCAATTGGTACATCGAGACTCTTGCTATGGTCTTGGGGAGGTTTGGCAATTTTTCAACTTACTGGTTTTATGTTAATAGCATTGAACATAAAGACTTCATTTTTTTTTCATATTACAACAAAAAATAATGAAGATTATATCAAAATTGTAAAATTTTATTAAAAAAATAAATTTGACAATAAGTAAGGGAATAAATCATGTTCAGTCTTTGTACAAGAAAAAAGATAGACCAAATATAAACAAAGATTCAAACTCTTTTTCACTAATCATATGTTTAAATTTATTGTAATCTCGAATAGTCAACTCTTTTGTTGTAAAAAATAAATATTATTGTTTTTAAAATATATTTATAATAACCAAATAAACAACAAATTGAAACTCATATTTAAAATGGATAATTCGATCCCTAGTAATGACTATCACTTATATGATTGAATTATATGCACACAAGTAACATTTTGTATAAGAAGTTAAAAATTATTTTTATAATGAAAAAATGAGAGAACAAAAAATATTTAATTTAATTATCAATTATTATAAACTAATTTAACTTCAAATGAAAAAAGAAAACTTATTTAGTCTTGTGAAAATTAAAGGAAATAAATCATTTTATTAACCAATTATACTAAAATGTTTTTTACCTTTAAAATTTTGTAATAATTTGTGCCCCTAGAATTTTTGGGCCTTCGGCCCGCTGTGCTCTTTGGGGTTGTCTTGTTTAAATTCAATCGAACTCTCTTGATTCTGGTTATGATTAGGTTTATAGATTCTGAGTTAGAAGCCAACATGGTATTGTTTTAAGATTTTATGTATTCCAATTAAAAATCTCGTGCAGATTATTTATCTTGTTGCAATATTGTGCTAAATGTTGAAAATGCTTAAGCAAAGGCTGTTTACGGTACCGTACTTCATATATAGTTATGAGTCCTTGATTAGTGTAATATTGAATGGTCGATGTCGATTCTTGAGTGTGATACAAACCATTTATTGTTATTGTTAGACTATTAGTTACAGGTTGGGTTACAAAATGCTTAAAAGTTTAAACTAATGAATGAGTTTAATATTCATGTGACTTCTCTTATGAGATTAGTCTGTCATTTTGTTTCCATCTGTCAGTCTTAATATCATAATATTCATTGTTTTATTGTAATTTTTGTATATGCAGTAAAGAAGAGGCTAGGATGAAGATTTATTCAGTCTCTACGAGGTGTTACTTTGCCTTTGGAGCTCTCGTGCCGGAAGAGATTTCTTACAAAATAAAAGGTCTCAATCACCATATTACTTTCTGGTATTTATTTAACCTTCAGAGTTTCTTACATTGATAAAAAAAAACATATGGTGCAGAACTTCCTAGAGTTCGTTGGGTGCTCCCGGATTCATACTTAGATGAGAAGAATAAAGATTATGGAGGTATGAATTACCTCTAGCATATATATTTCTTGAACCATCAAATGTATATATATTTGTCTGTGACGCCACGTAGAAACATTCATGGCGTAAATTTCTGGAAGTATTTCCCCTTTCCTTAAATATCACAACACGGGTTCATTTACAAACTCGTTTTATCCGAAGCTCAGTTTCTCGTTCATCTCATATATTTCAGGTGAGCCATTTATCAACGGCCAAGCTGTTCCCTACGATCCCAAATACCACGCGGAATGGATGAGAAACAACTCACGGGCCAACAAAAGGAACATGCGCAATGACGAGAAAAAGAAGACTCCTCAAATAATATCCAAAACTCTGCCGGCCGTGAAGACCAAGAAAGTTGTCGATGACAATAATAAAGACAAACAGGCCGTCGTTGATGCTCAGGTCGCGGATGACAAGAACAAGAAGGCCGCCAGCCTAAACAAGAAGCGGCCACACACCTCGACTAGCAAGAAAGATACGCCGCTCGACTACGAGTCACGTGGCAATAAGAAGATTCGTGTCGATGAGGACAACAAGGTGGTCTTGCCTCCACGCTCCATCGCCACCGCGGCTAAGGGCTCGACCATCGTGTCCTACCTGGCGAACGTCTTGCCTCACGCCGACACATGTCGATGGGGAAGCGATAGGAAAAAGCGAGCTAACGATGTAGCTCGCGGCCTCGGACAGGTATATCTTGGAAAACGTCTTTTAATATCTAAGTTTTGATCTTATGTTTTCATTATGAGAAATGCTATAGGTACATAATATTGTATATAGAGGTGTACATAACGCTCACATTGAGTGAGACCGACCAAAAATAAAACATCAAGTAGACCCCACTCCATGGGAGTGTTATGTACATCTCTAGGTACATTTATTATGTACTTGTAGCATTTTTCTTTCATTATTTTGACGTGCTAATCATATGGTCTTTAGGTCCTTGCTGGGTTAGTGCCCATGCTAAGTGACGACCTGCTCGACAACAACGAGCTTCCGAAGGAGCTGGCTCGACGCAAGAAGGAGTCCGACCTCCTCAGCCAGCACAACCGGCAGCTGACCACCAATAACCTTGAGCTGAACAAGAAGGTGGCTGCCTTGAACGGCCAGAATGAGCTTCTCGTCGCACGAAACAAGGAGCTCGAGCAGAAGTTGGTCGAACAGTCAGCTCGTCACAATGATAACCTCAAGGTGGCTGCGCAAAATGCCTGCGAGACCATTTTGCAGGCCGACATCTCTCAAGCTACCCCTTCCGTGGACCAACACGTGGTCGAGCAAAGCACTAAAGTCGATGCTGCCAATCAATTAGGACCAAAACCAATATAAATGACCTCATATAACAAAAATTCTACTAAGTAATTAGATGATAAATGTATATTGTCTTATTCATTCTTCACATTCAAAACTATGATATCGCTTTTTCTCTCTCTCTTATAACTCTTTTTGTTAATATTTCCTAATTTTTTTTATCTTTCGCAATATCATTCCGCAATATTAGCATATTGTTTATACGTAAATGAAACAAAATTTTGATGTTATGTTAAAGCACTAAATCATCTAATTTATATTTTGTATATAAAATGTGACAGTAGATGTCTGTCTAAAAGTAAAAAATAAAAATACAAATGTTTATATATATTAAATTATTATTTTATAATATACTTTCAAGATTTTTGTTTATTTATATTTCTAAGTCATATTAAGGTAACAATCAAGATGACCATCGTCAATGCTTATATCAATAGCCAACACTTGTTTTTTCATTAAATTTATGAGAACCATAATTTAACTTATTAAATACATATTGATAAAATTCCGCAATACAATAAGAATAAAATATATAAAAATGGTAATATATAACTCTAAAAAAATAAAATATAAAACTAACACTTGTGATATATGATTTAAAAAAAAATAGTTGTTGCGTTTGTAGTTTATAATGTGAAACTTTGTTTGTCGTAATATTTTGATAAAGACAATATACTCCCAAATTCTCATCACTCTTATGAAAACAATATTGATATACGATTAAAAAATTAACAATAAATTAACTCGTTATACCTCTTTTCAGGAATTATAGTTGTATAATTATAGACCTCTAAAGTAATAAAAAAAGATGGCAAAATTTATGTACATATGTTTTGACGGCATCTTTAATATTTTAATAAATTAAAATAAATTATACCAACTAAAAATAAACAAAATTAAACAAATTTTGTATTTTTTGGTCACCTCCAATCAGACCAAAATCAATATAAATTCTCTTCAATCTTCAAAATTAAAAAACATGAGTTGCGCCTCTTTGAAATCCACTAACTCTTTATATTTGTATGTTAACATTTCTATGTTTTATCAATTTTTTTTAATATCAATTCTGAAATATCTATACATTTTTTAATCATAAATACAATTAAATTTTAATGTCATGTTCGAATTCTAAGTTGTTGTTTTTTTTCTTTAGTTTTATTTTTTTATTAATATTCTTGATGGATACTGGTAAAAGGAACCTAAATTAATATATTTTTTTTCAAGTAAAAGTTATTCATTATATTCAAGATATATTTCATATGGATATGTAGGTTCATCCCCTGTATAGATGATACTTTTTTATTTTTTATTTTAAAAATATCCCTTTTCGTCAAATAAATTACAAAAAATATAAATTTATGTTTTTTTTCTTTGTCTCTATTTGTATTTTTAAAAAAATAAACAAATTTATTACAAAATAAAATAAAAATATATTAAAAATTTATCTCTAAGTAGAAAACATATAAACAAAATTATATCTCTCTTCCTCTCACCACACATCCAATAACACGTGCCCACCTGCCACCTCGGACTCTCTCTCTCATGCACCCTCTCTCTCCCTCTCCCTCTCACCACACACAAACCACACGCACACACACAAAACACTCTCTCTCCCTCTCCCTCTCACCACACACAAACCACACGCACACACACAAAACACACAACACACACTCTGTACACACATACACGCACATTACATACAACACACACACATACACACACATTACAAACGACACAAACACACACTGTACGCATGCACACACACGACAAGCACACACGTACAGCTCCGGCGTGCGATTTCAAGCCAATCTCCGGCGCTGATCACGGCCGTTGGTTCCTCTCGCGCCGCTCGCTGTCACTCGTCGCACTGCCCGTTGCCGCTACTCGACGTCGCCTCTTCCCGTTGGTTCCGTCTCGCCCACGGCCGCCGATAACATCCAAACAGCATCATCACGCAGCTCGCCGCCATTGAACTCCGCCAGTGGCTGCCTCAGCCACTGGCACTGTCCACCGCCGCAATCATCTGAGCCTGCGGCACTGCGTGCGACTGAGCGAAGCAGCCGCAACTGTTTTCAAAGAAAAAAGAAACTTGGGGATTGGGTGTTTTAATGAGAATTTGACAATATCAAAGGACCTAATTGCAATTTCAAGAATTTTTATTATATTTCAATTTAGCTCATGGGATAAATATGTAAATTATGAAAAATATATAAAAAAAATATTATTTTTTATACATAAATATATTATGTAATTGCAACAAAATCAATATAAAATATTAAATAAATAATATCATTTTTTATATATTTTAATATTTTGTATTTTTAATATTAAATAAAAGTATTATAATTATTTAATAAAAATATTAGTTTTATGTGTTAATATTTTTATTCAATATTTTTAATAATAAATAATATATTACAAATATTTTTATAATATAAATAATAAATTATTTTAATTATTTAGGTTATTTCAATTAACCAACCGAAAAAATAAATTATTTCAATTCGGTCTTAACTTGAATTTGAACATAAGAAAACCCGCACTGAATAAAATGCACAATATTATACAAAATGATGCACATTAGTGATTGTCGAACTGCATCATATTATTAGACCAAATGCACGTTAACGCGTTCGAGAATGCAAATTAACATAACAATGTGTATTTTCACAAATATTAAATTTTACTTATTTCGGTCAGATATTGGTTTTATTTACAAAAAAATAAAAAATTACATAACTGATCGAACTATAAAAAACATTGTTCTTATATTTTATCTATATATATTATTTATGTTCAAACAAAAATAATATAAAGTATTAAATAAAAATTATAAATACTAAATATATTTGTATAAAAATTAGTTGCACTTGAGTGCACATTAATGTAATACAGATTGCACAATAGTGTCTGTTAGATTGCACTATAGCGACCGAACTAAGTTTTTGGGCTCAAATACTTTACATGTCAGTTCGATTATCTATTTTTACGTTTCAAATTTTAGTTATTTCGGTTCGATGTCAGCTTTATTTTTTTAAAGTAACCGAAATAACGGAACCGATATAAAAAAGTATTATTTTTTTATAGAAATATTAGCTTTTTAATCAAAATAAATAAAAGTTAGATAGATATATTAATGTGAAATTTTCATCATTAACGTGCAATTTACATATGATCGATGTGTAAGTATTGGATTTTTTAAAAAATATAAATTTGACCTATGAACTGAATTGTAATATATTGAAATTTATAAAATTGTAATTGAGTCCTTCAAACATATCAAATTTTCAAAAAGAAGCCCTAAATTCTACAATGCAAGATCCCGTTCATCCTCAGCCTTTCTGCGGCGACAGAAAGGCGGGGCTATGGCGGCAATGGGCGAGGGCCGGCGCGGCAGGCGAGTGGTGGTTCACGCCGTCGGCGACCTGCAATGTCTCTGGTGCGTGTCGTGGCAGAGATTTCATGGGTCAGTTGCGGTGGTGGTAGGTGGCAACGTGGTGGATGTTGTCAACGCCGACGCTAGTGGCGTGGCTAGTGGCGGCGACGGCGAAATGATTGCTGCTACTAGAAGAAGTTGGCGGATGGCAGAGGCGAGGCGAGGCGAGGCTGCTGTGACCGGATGGCTGAGGCGAAGCGACATACTGGCGGAGGAAGGGGAAGGCGAGGTGGAGGTTTGTGGATGGCGGCGATTGTTATGGCTGTCGGGAATTCTTTGTTGGGATCTGTGAGGATCTCGTATGTACAACTCACGAATTCAATAGCAAACTTAAACCTATGCGCAGCGGATCTAAAGGTTTGACGTAGAAAACTTACGGTTTAAAATTTTCTGAATCTGTCGGATTCAGGATGACCGGGAACAGCACACGAATGGAACTGGATCACACGAATGGGATGACGGGATCCAGTCACGTTAGATCGGACGGGTCGTGTGCGTCGGGTGGCCGGTCGTGTCGCATCGGGTGGCCGGTCGTGTCGCATCGGGTGTCCGGTCGTGTCGCGTCGATCGGGTCGCCGACAATTTTCCAGCTGGTCGGGCGGCGATCGTCCGACTGGTCGGGGTCGGCGACTTCTGTAGATGATCACCGGGTCTCGAATACCTTTGGATCTTCTACTATATTACTTAAACACCTCTTCAACTTGTATCAGTGGAGCAACAATAATAAGATAAAGCTCGAATGAGATCTAGAGAGAGAGAGAGAGAGAGAGAAAGGCACCGTGTATTGTTTGTCCCATTTTGATTGCATTTTTCGTGCTTGTTTTGCTTTTTTTCCCCCCATTATAGGTCGTTTCTTTCGTTTTTAGTCTGTTTCATGTTTTATGATGTGTTTTCATTCATTCTGAGTATTTAGGTGTTTTTCGTTTGTTTTTTCAGTTTTCTTTGTGTTTTGTCGTTTTTGGTGTGTAGGTCCAGATGTTCGGCCGAATTTTCTCAACAGAAAAAATTGGTTTCGAGAGCATAATTGAATAGACGAGTTTGTTAGCGACGCGTAGAAAAAAACGAAATTCAATTCCGAGTTCAGACGAGCTCAAACGAGGCCGAAACGTAAAGTGGCGCAGTACAGTCCAAGCAGCGAACCGCGACCAGGGACCGAGCCCGACACCTGGACGCGCGACCCACGACTCCGCACCCGCGACCCGCGAGAAAAACAGAGGCGCCCAGTGCCGACCCGCGATGCCGGAATTCGCGCGCGTGCCCAGCGCCCCGCGCCTACCAACTCGCGACTCGCAACCCAATCGACCTTGTTTTTATTTTTCTTCGTTTTTTCTCGTTTTTGTTCGGTTTTACGAGCCCTATATGTTGGAATGCCCCCAGACTTAAATAAGAATACCCAATCTCGTTTTTCGCACGGGATAAGTACTACAAAGAATATTTAGAGTATTTTCAAATAGGCCCGGGCCATTCCAGGAATTCTACATTCGAGGATCTATACTTGGGATATATAATTATATGGGGATCTTTATTTAAATGACCTAGTCAAATGTCTTTTTTATTTAAATGACCCCTTTTCATTGTTATAAAATGTAGTAAATGAAAGGTCAATAATACCCTTATGTTGTATAACGAATGTTCTTTCGTTTTTATTATGGTATAACAAAAGTAGTTTTGTTATATTTCTTTTATTAGAACTTGTTATATTTTAAGTCCTAATTCTTTACTTATCTCTTGAACCTTTTGTTCAATTTTATATATTTTGTTATTCGGTTTTATGATTACTTCAGTACAGGTATCGATTTTCGAAGAACTAACTTCGTTTTCTTCATTATTCTGTTTAGGAATAATGTAGTCTATTTTAGGTCTAATAAAGGACGAAGTTCTATGTACTTGGAAAGACCTTCTAGGTGCTTCTAATTGTAATATAGGTGAAAATAATTCATCAATTTCAATTTTATCATGAGGTTCAAATGATAAACTATGATGACTGTTTGTTAGTGCATAGTTTATTCTCCATGTTACTGAAAATAGATGGTTTTCAGTTTTCATTATTTTTCTATTCATATTCCAGCACAAAGTGATGGAGTCATCTAAATTATTATCTAATAAAGACATTCCAACTTGGTAGTTTAAGTTAAACTTAATTTTTCCAAATTTTAGATTTCCACTTCCTTCAGCTATTAGAGCATCAGAATAATCATTCATTCTATTATCAACTAGTCTTATAGTGATAGGTGAATCTATTCCCATACTATAAGTGGATTTAAGAATCATTTGTATAGTAGACATGTAAATAAGAAATTTTATTCCGAATTTCTGCTTTAATACTTTCAATGTAGAAAGTATTTGCTCTTTACAAATAACAGGAATAACTACATTTCCTTCTGTTTGATCTGTATCTATTGCCTCTTCTCTGGAAATAATTCCAAAGAATATTTCATTTTTTCTAGAAACTAAGTTATTTAATTTCTTTAATAATCCTTCATTTTTGAAGTTATGATTTTTCTTTAAATCATGATCTGCTATCTCTAGTTTATTTGCATCTATCAGGGCTTCAATTAAGTAACCTGATTTTTCGTGTTTTGAGAAGTAACCTAAAAGATTATTTTCTTATTCATAACGCCTTCTATTATTGTTTTTAGAAAAGTAATCTGTTAGATTCTATTAACTTATTCTCTTTATTCTTTCTAACTCCAAGGATCTAAACATTTTACAAAGAATTGTTTTTCTGATCTTGAATAAGTTCTATTGTTTGTTTCTAAGATTTGGATAGCTAAATTTATACATTCAAGCTTATCTTTCCAATATTCTATGTGTTCTTCATGTATTTCAGAATGCGGTGCTGTATTTGCAATTTTCTTTTCAAGAGTTTTACGTCTTGCTAAAAATGCATTTAGCCAATCTATTTGTGACATTTTTTAGTTAAGTATTTCACCTGTTACCAGGCTCTGATACCATTTCAGTTTTCATTCTCACATTTCCAGTTTTCATTCTCATTTTCTATTTTCTTGCGGAATTTTTCTTTGAAACCTGTTTAGTGCTCATTTTAGAGTATAATTTTTCTTTATATACGGAGTTTTTCTATGTTTGATATAATTATAGCTAACTCTTTTTCTCTAGTTACAAGAGATGAATGAATATCATTGGCATAATTATCTCTTGTTCTGTCTTTATTATTTCTAATAGTTTGTCTTTTAATACCATTTTCTAAAATTTTCAGTTTTTCTAAAATATCTAGTTTAATAGATCTTAAAAGATTATTCTCTAATCTTCTTAATTCATCATATTTATCTAACCTTATAGGTAATGTCATGCAACTCTCAAAGTTATTAAAAACCTTATCTAAGAGTTCTGGATTCATACCGTTCTTCTGGATTTTGAACTTCTTCTTTGATCTAGAATGATTGGTCCACCATAGCTTCCTGTTTTTCTTCTCAAATTCCAAACACCTTGCTCCAAGTCGTCTTACAGCCCTTCTCTTCAGGTCTTACTCCGACGAACGGTTGTGTCTTCAGGAATCTCCAGAGAAATCTAGCCTAAGCTATTGGTCCTTTAGGACTCTTCTTTCTTTTAGAAGTTAGATAACTTCTG